AAGTTGGTCTTCGCGCTCTAAAACCTCTATCGTGACTCCAAAATCGTCTTAGTTGAGTTCTTGAACCCCGTGACAACAACTTAATGCAGTTGATATGCGCAGTCTAGATTCCCCATCCAGATGCTCTTTGATCCGCACATGGAGTGGCCAAGCCGTTTCACGCACTTATCTCCACAAATTTGGCAAATCTTGCAGACCACACCTATCACAGCTTCTTCGCGTCATCCACCGCGAAATATTGACCAACATGAAAAAAAGATTGAAGAAATCTCGTGAAAACTAAACTTTTACAATTTCGTTTATAGTTTCACAGGAGTTTACGAACGTGCATTGTAAAACTACCCGACTTTCCAAATATACTGGACAGCACCCGCGTCGAACCCTATCAAATTGACTGTCACCAATTCTTTTTCGCTTTCAAAACGACTGTTATTAATCCACCCCATTGGTGAAGCTAGCCGGATCAAATTGGAAACGCTCGATTCAGTAATGGGCTTAAGAATGAGAAAAGAAGAAATTTGTGGCCACACAGGCAGACCACCCACACCGGACAGCATCGTTTTGTTATCGATCGAGCCGCACGACCTTTCACTTGGAGCAGGGAATTCGCTTCGTCACCACCTGAATCACTCATTTCTGTATGATTTGCCGATAGAGTTCATTCGCTGCTGACCTTAATTACTATCCACGGACACTATGGCCCTTCCATTAACGGCCACTGAGCTTCGTGGTAGTGGAATTCAATTTGTTTTTCAGGTTTGTTATGTTTTTGAAGATTTTTGGCGGTTTACAATGCACCTATTTCTTTTAAATAGTACTTTCTTCACTAGGAGGATGCTAGTCCCAGCAGAACTAGTCTCTAACAAATCACAGGCATGTCGCGGGTCATTATTTTCCATACGGGACTCAAAACTTGACAGGACCATGAACTGTGCGATTCTGCCTTCAGTCTTCCATTCTTTCCCATTCCTCGCAGAGATTATCGATAATAAATTTGCCTTGTGAGACCATTGTACACAATGACAGGAACTGACCAAATGTCCCTTACCCTTAGCCGACTTGAGCCAAATTACCATTACTTAAATCACTTCTTTTCAACAGAATAGAAGGTAGTAGGTTGAAAAACTGATGGAACACGATGCGCTCTTTGCTCTTGTTCTGAAGCGAAATATCTATTCTTGAGTCGGTTTGTTCCGGCAGCGCAGAGTGGTACTGACGCGCGGCGGCTCGTTGCTCGGCGTTCCAGCAGCGTTCAGACTTAGCGGGTGGCAGCGTTTTCCCGGGGCAGTTTTGAGCTTCTAGCGGGCAATCGCAGAAAAGCTGACGTACGCTGAAAACGCTGGATCCATATCTATATTTTCCTGGTTGCTCAGAGCAGGCTCACTCAAAAACATATATCAATTTCCACAACCTTGCTGTCGGTCGATACAGTGCAGTTACTCAGCGGACAGTGGGCGCGTCCTAAAGCCACGGCTGGCGAGCGGTCCGATAGTTCTGCCTTGTTTTTGTATCGGTGGCATGCCGCAAAAACCTTGCCTCTGCGTCTCTTGCTCTGCACTCTGTGCTCTAACACACGCTGCCGCACCGTCTAGCCACTCTTCCGCTCTGGGCTACCGATAATCGATAATCGCTCTCGATCAGCTGATTCCTGCCGCACTTTCGCAGTATTTTTACTAGATTCAGCTTATTAAAGCAGGAATTTTTCGACTTTTGACTTCAATGTTCGAAGGTGAGCATTTTTACTGAAAATATATATCACATTTTGCATGAATTATGCAATAACTTGGGAAAGAAAAAAAAAATTGAAATTGGGAATTTAGCATGAGAAAGCGAACCATTAAGGCAACTTCGAGCTCCAAAAAAGTGTCAGAGATGGTTCTCGATAATAACGAGATCACATCTGAGACACTGCTTAGAAAAATTGGGTCAATGATCTTTAAAATAAATGGCGCGATATTAAGGGACAAGTTTTGGATTAAATTTTGCCGAAAATCAGAAAGAGAAAAAGTTTCTAGGGGAATGTCTCATGCTTAAATTCATGCAAAATGTGGAATACTTTCAGTAAGGATACTCACCTTCGAACATTGAGGTCAAAAGTCGAAAAATTTCAGCTTTAACAAGCTGAATCTAAGCAGAAAAAAATACGGGAAATGCCGCAGGATAGTCAGCTCGATCGAGGAGCGTCAGCAATATCGATTAGTAAGAGTCCAGAAGCGAAGTGTGCTTAGACGGCTGCGGCGGCGGCGTGTGAGCGGAAGACGCTGCCAGAGTTAAGCAGACGGAGAGGCAATGATGATAATATCCTGGAAGTTTTCGGCTTCCCATAGACACGCAATCACCGGAACGCTCGCCAGCGTGGTCGTAGGGAACGCCCCACCGTCCGGTGAGCGCTGAACGTGTAACTCCTCGTCGTCGACTGTCGACCGAAAGCTGCGTTAAAAAGTTGCGTACAGCTGCTAAGTGGTAACCGACGACAGCTAACCGATCGATACGTATCTATTCTTCTCGAAGTTGTCGTCGGTTACGCAACTTACGCAGCTTACGCAAATTACGCAGCTTACGCACTTATCGCCCAGGGGCTTAAGAAACGGCCAACTTACGCAGCTTACGAACTTACGCAACTTACGCAGCTTTCTTTGGATCGATACGTATGTGTTCTTCAGTCGCAACTTACGCAGCTTACGCAACTTACGCAACTGTTGCGCAAAAAGAGGCGTCGCACGGTATGAAACGCGGCCTAACGACGACAGCTAACGATACGATACGTATCTATTTATCTCGGAGTTATGTCGCTCGGTTACGCAGCTTACACAACTACGCATTTACGCAAGCTTACGCAGTTATTTGGATCGATACGTATGTGTTCTTCACAAACTAGTCGCAACTTACGCAACTTACGCAGGTTACGCAACTTACGCAGCTTTCGTCGGATCGATACGTATGGCGTCGATTCTGTAAGAACTAGTCGCAACTTACGTAAAAGACGTCGCACGGTATGAACGCGGCCTAAGAAGTATACATATATGTGAATTCAGTTGGCTCCACAATTCATTGTATAGAACTGTGAAGTGAGTGTGAAAGAGAAATGTGACCAACTTAATCACTTCATCTTATCCTCTATTTCTTCTTTACTTATACTTTATAGTATCTCGGAAGTGTACCTGTGACCGCGGCTTTGCACGAGATGACAGCAGACATGCGACCTCTTGTCGTGAAGTAAGTGTCCTTTGCGAACTTTTCACCATGCAGATGGCATAATTGTGTTCTTTTCAAAAAGCTGTTTTCCGTATTTACCATAATGTGACTGGGGCTTCTACAGTTCTCACCTCAAGACCCTTCTGTGGCTATCTAGTGTATCAATATGTGGCTGCAAGCGATTTGGACTTATTCCCCTAAACTAAACGTATTATGAACGGGTTGTAAGCATCTCGGGTTTTCTTGGTGAAGGAGAATTCCACGAATATCGATGTTTTACGCATTGATTTCGGGCTTTAGTGCCACGCATGGTACCGCAGTCTCGCGCGCATCGCGCGCACTATCAGCGTACAGTTCCCGCTCGTTTACAGAGCAGACCACTAAGCACAGGAAAGAGCTTAGTCGCTGAGGTGAGACGTAGAGATCGTGGATGCACCGCATCTACATTAAACGGATTGGGTCCCCCGGTGTGTAGCAGTAGTACCGGTCGAATCGTGCGCAACAGCAGTGCACGGCAACTAGTAGGAGCCGGCTGCGCCACGTATGTTATGGTTTTGGACAACTTTTGAACTGGCGCTAAGACGCCCGTGGAGAATTTCAGGGGTAGTAAGTAGGGTGCGTTCGCACTCATTGTACTGAAGAATGGGAGAGAATTCGCGAAAGGAATTTGTGAATCCTATATATATATATATATATATATATATATATATATATATATATATATATATATATATATATATATATATATATATATATATATATATATATATATATATATATATATACCTATATATATATATATATATATATATATATATATATATATATATATATATATATATATATATATATATATATATATATTATATTTATTACACGAGTAGCTCTCGTGTGAAGAAATTCCACAAAGAATTACGAGAACAATTATCAATGAAACTCTAGAGTCGTATAACGACTCGGTAGACTGGGATTGTTCAGTTGATCAGGCAAAAACACATAAACAGGTTTCCTAGACAACCCATTCCGTAGCCCCTTGCTTGGATGCGTTCGTACCTCCTCTGCCGCCGATTCCGTCGACGCAACCGACGTAACCGACGTAATCGGCAGCAGAAGATTAGATACGTAACGATTATACGTGACCGCCATAAACGACGTAATCGACGTAACCAACATTTTCGACGTCGATCAATACGTATGTAATACTCTGTCGCCGATTCCTCCGTTTACATTGGATCGATACCTATCTAATTGTCGCCGATTATGTTAGTTACGTCGGTCACGTCGAGGTCGTAAGGTATGAAACGCAGCACAGATCGAGTGGAAGTGAGAAGGGGTAGTAGGGTTTGAATTGCTGCGTAAAGATGACAAAGCAAAAGCAAAAAGCATCACTAAAATGGACTGAAACAGTATGTAGCCATTTTGGAGGATTATCCAATTTTCCAATTCTTTCACTCTCTACCTCTCGGACGCTCCGATTCGCCGGTCTTCCTGATCGGTACCCATGCATTCCGTTCGTGAATTCTTCGATTAGTCAGGACATTCATTGAAAGTATGAACGCGACCTGTTTTCAGCAGTTCCTTACTAGAGAATGCTCCTTTTTTTTTTCTTCCTTACTAGGGAACTGAGATACTCCCTGGCCTTTTTCAGGCTCACGCAGTGCTTGCAGCCGCAGTTAGGAGGTCTGTAAATGATGTCATGGTGTACGAGGGTACATATCGTTAGCCTGGCATATACCAAACCTTTCTCTCCAATGGCCAACCACGACCTCCGCCTATTTTACAGCGGATGTTGAGCCCTGTTCGCCCTTTTTGGCGTGCTTGACGCCACTTAGGACGGGGTGCGTGTCAAGAGAATCGTAACTCGCCGCGTTGATAGGGTCGCGTGCGATGTTGCGGGGCCTGGTTCGCGCATTCCTCGGTTACGACTAGCAGTAGATGGGCGACACAGGCAATGTGGAACTCAAAAGCCAAAAATGTCTACAGTTTCGTAGCCTACGTGAAACCCTGTGCTCCAATCGACAGGCTAACACGAACTAAGAAAAAACTGCGTTCATCGCCGCGCGCGGCGAAGCCGCATACTACAATTCTCTTGACCGTCTCCCCTCAGGACGAGGGATATTCATCTCGTACGCGGCATTCGCACCGCCCTGATAAACCCATGTGGCCAGTGCTGTAGTGTGTTAAGTCAACTAGCTAAGGAATACTATTTGAGTTTGCTCACTCGATTGTGTCCTGGGCAACCCCGACGCAACGCGCGACGCTTAACTCTGACCCTATTGAACTGTTCCTACCCCAGTCTGCCGAAATCAGGCCGGTTTTTTACCGACTTTTTTCTACAAGGGCAGATTTGGCTGAAAATTTGCTTTAGGGGTACTTCGACCTCCTGAACACGAATATCACATCCGCTTCGCCCGAAACTGCCTGGCGCCCGCGCCACAGGCGCCGGCGCCAAAATACCCCTAAATCACCAAATTCGCTGAAAACTTGTCCCTAGGGGTAGTTTGACCCCCTGAACATGAATATCACATGCTCGGGAAAACCAGGCGCCGGCGCCAAAACACCCTAAATCACCAAAATCGATGAAAACTTGTATACGGGGTTATTTGACATCCTGATTACGAATATGACATTTATTCTTGGCGCCGGCGCTAACGTAGGACACTATGGTCATCTGCGCTTTGCTAAGACTGAGCCTGGCCTGAAGGGAATCACTCCTTTTCCCAGGTTCAGCCTCAGCAGAACGCTAAATGGCGCTGGTATGGAGAAATAAATGCCATACTCGTGATCAGGATGTCAGTTAACCCCCGTATACAAGTTTGCATCAAATTTGGCGAGAAAAGTTGGCCTATTGGCGCCAAATGGCGCCAGCGCCAGAAATGAATGTATATTCGTGATCAGGACATCGAATAACATCTATAGACAAAGTTTCAGCGAAAAATTTCCTTGAGTTTTTGGGGCAGGAATAGTTCAGTGGTGCCCTAACTCTTACTATGCACTCGTGTTCAATTCGCGAAAAAGCGACGCGCGTGCAGAAAACGTTTGATTACTGGCCGAGGAATATCCCGTTTGTTGCATTTTCTTTTACTTTTGATCTGTGTTATGGGTATCGCCTTCTTTGATTGTGATTTCTGTGTGGTATTTACTCACTATCCGTTTAGTTTCTCGGTGAACCAAAGGTGACAAATCAACAGATAGAGCTCAATATTTCTACAAAATCGCTGACTATTATTCATTCTGATTCGAGAGAGCCTGAAAAGGTAAATCGACTGATTGCTCGGCACAGCATTGAGCTGGTCTCCTTCGCAGCACAGGGATCAGATGTGAGTATAGCAACCATTTCGTGTGAATCTTATTCTTGTGGTTCTGTTGCAGTAAAGGGTGGGTGTAGTCTGATTTTTTTGGAACGAGGTATAAATGTTTCAGGAAACGAACACTGCTGACATGTTTGGATATATAGCAAAACTTCGTAATGAAACCGATAGGCGTTGTCATGTGTTCCGGTTTGAAGACGTTAGTATTTGGTGATTTCGTTACTTTGCAGCGGTAAGGTAACTCGGGATGAGGCTACGTTCATACTTTGCATCAGGACTAGAAAAATATAGGTATCGATCTAGAAGATGGTAGCGTTTTCGCGGGAAATTTGAGCCTAATGCTGCGGTCATACTTCGGTAGCCTCTGCTACGTTTATGAGCGTTCAGTGGGAAGCCGGAAAAGGAGCAGGCGGGTGTAAGATTTGGTGAGGTAGCCAAACAGCGCACGACTACACCGTTGAGTATAAATGCATAGCGTGCTTAGAAGTTGTGCACTGCGCTCTTTCGCAGGCTAATGCCGTTTGGACTCCAAGAATTTCGGCACCCAGCCCATTTGTAAATTGCCTAAGTCACCAAATCCGCCAAAAACTTGTATATAGGGTAGTTTAACATCCTGATTAAGAATATGACATTCACTTTTGTCGCTGGCGTCAAGAGAGGACACTAGGATCACCTCCTAGGCTCAGCCTTAGCAGAGCGCAGATAATCGTAGTGTCATCCATTAGCGCCAGCGACAGGGACATATGTCTTAATCAGGATGTTAAACTACCCCTATATACAAATTTTTAGCAGATTTGGTGACTTAGGCAATTTAAAAATGAGCTCGGTGCCGAAATTCTTGGAGTCCAAACGGCATTAGCCCCCTTGCGCACGCTGCAATTCCACGACGCCTAATCTAGCTGTTTGCTACCCTCCTACTTTACCATACTCACTACTTTGTGGCAGCGTCCTCCCGGTCGCTGGAGGACGCTGCCACAAATAATGAATGCGGCCTAAGCAAAATTGCCCGCGAAAACGCTGCTGTACGCTGGTGTTCGCCCGATCGATATCTATACTTTCATAGTCGCTAGCGCTGGCTTACTCTCGAAACGCTGGCGTACGTCAGCTAGATATGAACGCAGCCTAAAGAACACCTGATTGTTAGGCGCACAATCGCGTTGTGGGTTATTAGGTAGTCAGATCGAAAGGGAGAGTGTTTCTTCTCCTGTTTCAGGTACCAAGAATAATGCATATCATCGATGATGCTATCCGCTTGGCTACACTAGACATGTCGCCACCAATGGCGCCGCCCATTCAACCAACTTCTGGCTTAGTCAATGTAAATATTACTCTAGGGAATGAAATGATTCAACAGTGTTGTGAAGCTTTATGAATATGTGTCATTTAGATTGACCCGACATTCGTCCAAGAGCCTAAGCGACAACCTCTGGCGCCATCGCCTCGGACAGTCAGGAATCAAATACCGGATCGGCCTTCTCCAGAACCTGGCGGTGAGCTTACCTTTCCTCTCTTTAATGCAGAGTATCTTTCATTGGAATGGATGCTTTCCTAGGATCGGGTTTGAGAGAAGATCCAAACGGGCTTCTTGGTCTGGATTTACGTGATAAGCCGTGGTTCCATGGTGAACTCAATCGTGCTGGTGCTGAGTACCTTTTACACAAGGATGGGGACTTTTTAGTCCGGTAGGTCACTAGCTTGTTTTATAAGCTATTTCCAGAAATTTTTCGGTAGAATTTCACTCTTCACGACTGAATCAGCTCGGGAAGTGCAGTCGCGGGTACAGGGGGAAGCAAAAAAAGTCACTTCGACCGAGTCACATATCAGCAAAGTTTTCGCAGCCCAGACAGAGGACGTGGATACGAGTACCAGGGCGGAAGATACCCAAGATGTTCCTCGATAAGGGAGCTAAGCAGCCAGGGTTTCGCCGATCACCTTCACG